AACCAAAGGTTTCGATCAAAGCTTTCTCTGGAGCTGGTCATATGCTTGGCAGGTACGGCCTAAAAAAGCCACCATATGGGATTTTGTTCCATGTTATTATTATGGGAAAGTTGTTGTTAGAAGATATAATTATTGTGACAAAATACCATTTTTATTGGTGAATTTAGTGAACCAAAAATCCATACGACTGGAAATTCCTTTACTACCTATTCTATTTAAAAATGGAGCATACAGTAAGTACCGGTATAAAAAAGAATATTTTTAAAATATTTATGCAGCGGGTATATTAAATCTAACAGATTCAACAAATCCTAAAAAAAATAAAAAAATTATTGTTAAGCACTGCACAGGATCCTGCATTGAATAAAAATTTATTAACTTTTCATTTCCTGCTAAGCTTTTATTTTTAAATATTTTGATTATACCGGTACTTTGAACTAACATGATGCACCAAATTAAAAAACACATTATTATTTGTATATGAGATGCATGGTCATTTCAATCAAGCTTTAGCATTTAAATTGAGTAAGAAGGATCCTTACATATGATGGAGAAGGTCCGATGGTTAAACAGGACAAGTTTTGACCTGTCACGTACCATAAAATAAAAATAATTTCCTTTATAATTTTCTGTTCCCCTCTGTTCCCAGTATTCTTTTCCTGTCATCTATTTCGTCGTTCACTTTGTCGTGTTGTTGCTTTTTAACGCAGGAAAATCTTTCTTTGTAAACTAATATGTCTCTTCATTCATGGTGCTGTCAATCAAAAACCATCAAATGTCACCAGCGACGAACCAAACTCTTTCAGCCCCACCCCTACTGTGATAAAGTCAGCACCTCCGGCCGGCGACAGGCTTCCTCCTTCTGTCCAAGTGGATGAGAAAAAGCCGGTCACCAATATCCAGCTCCGATTGGTTGATGGTAAAAGGTAAGGTTGGCTGTAAGTCTTACTGGGCGTTGTGGCAAGTCTGTTGAAATTGACGACATGCCAAGTACATGTTAATGTCACTCGATAGTTATAAAAAATTGATAAAAATATAAGCCATTTAAAGCAGGGGAAGGTAAGTTAATTAAATGCTTTACATCTGAAGTATTTCGCAATTGTTCTTAGTGCTCAAGATAAAGATACAAATCATGAATTCAGATTGGAAACAATTCAATAAAACGATCTTTCCCTTATTTTGAATTAAATAAAAATAAAATGTTAAATTATTCCTTGATTCAAAACTTAATATCAATATGCCCTATTTTTCCCATTTATTTCTGTGATTAGACTCAGGCTGTTCATTATTTATGCTGTGAAATTATCAAGATATTACCCCAATTGTTTATTAATGATGTTAAAAGGGAGATAATGCCAACAATATTCTGAGATTCAACGGTGTTCAGTAAATATTTATTGTCATATTTTTGTAATGAATTCATTTCTTCACCATGTTCCGTCATACATTAATGCATGAGTTTTCTTCCATTGTCTTTTCTCCAGAATGGTGCTAAAGTTAAACAATTCTCACACTATTGGAAATATCAGGGAGCACATCATTGCGTATCCTTTTTTAAAAACATTTTCAACATATATTACCTAAAACAAGTGTTTCATATTACCTCTAGTGGCATATTGTATTAAGAGTCTCCCAAAAATATATTACCAGTAGTGGCATATTGTATTAAGAGTCTCCCAAAAATACATTACCTGTAATGGCATATTGTAAGTGTAATGTAACTCTGGTAGACCCCTGCTATAACACAAATTCTGATAAAGCGATATTTAAGGATGAGATTGTTGCCCATGAATATAATCAGGATGTGGTACCTGAAATTTGAAATACATGTCTATTTACCCCTAAGCAGGTGATTTTTTTTTTAAGTACGGTATCAAATGAGAAATAGTGTGTCCGTGTAAGCCACAATCATTTGATTTAAAATAATGTCCGCTTTTATTTGAAAGTATTGTCTCCCATATATTATGAGCTGTAAGATTTCTGGAACTAAAGACGTCTCTTGAGACCCTATGGTGCTATGTGTCTGTTGGTAGGCGTCTTTGGTTCATTGAGATGCATGAACAGCAATGAGAGTTGGCTGCATAAAAATATTGTAAAACCTGCACTAACGCCACCCCAGCTTTTAATGAGACTTTTTTTTTTTGTCAGTGGGGTTCCATTCAATCATGAAATTGTCTTGCTTCAATTTGAGAACAGTGACCATGGATCAAGTTGAGAAGTTCCCTCATTAGATTCTTATGATTAGCTAAATTTATAATTTTTGTGCTTCGACATCTGCAGTGTTCACAGAAACATCATTAGAGTTTTTTCTGTTTACCATTCCGTTACTGAGTGGTCTCCCCTTACCTCTTGTTGGCAACAGTTTTGCAATTTTGCATTTTATACAGAGCCATGATAATAATTATTTGAAATGCCATACATACATGCATGTTCCTATCTAAATGTTAAGTGAGATAATTACTGTACTACAGTGATCCCTGGTCTGTTGCGCAGGGTTATGTTCCAGGACCACCCGTGCGATAGGCGAAAATCCATGAAGTAGTGACCTTATATTTAATTTCCAATTAATATTCTTTTAATGTTTTAATTAATATTTTATATATTTTTATATTCTTTTCAATTTTTCTAGACAATGCTTATTTTTTTACCCCAAAAATAATTAAAATAATAAATATATAAAAATACCTATATACTCTAAATTCCTATATTAGTAGCGAGAAATTTGCGATACAAAATTAGATATATATGAGTATGAGTTAAAAAAACACTAAAAGTGAACCAGGGGTACACGAGGGATCTCTGTATAAATAACATTGACAAATGTTGCTTTCAGAGAGCAATCCTTGCTCATTCATTCCAAACATTATGTGTTTTTTGCCTTTATTTTTACAGTGCAAAGTAATTTCCGTCACTGCACTAGCTCCCGATTTTAAAGAAATCTTCCACATTGTAGGTGCCATGAAGATGAAATATAAATGTGTTGATTTCTAATGTTTAGAATATTAGCTCTATTTTCAGTCAAGGATCTTTTTAAAGACAATTCTCTCCGATGTACGTTCTAAAGTAAATAATACACTGAATCAATCTTTTTTTTCCCCCATTTGATCAGAGGTTCTCAATTTTTAGTTGAGGTAAAGTACAAATACTGTAACAAAAATAAAGAAAATCTCTGCCTAAATTAGTTATAAATATGGGCCTAAGAAAATGCTGGCTTCCTTAACAAAGTCACTAGATCCAATCCACAGTATGCCCAGAGCAGTTTCTCTTTGATGACGACGTTCCCCAACAAAGAGCTCACGGATGAGACCTTGACCTTAGAACAAGCCAATCTTTTGAATGCTGTCATCGTACAGAAGTTGAAATAATCTCATTTGTTCAAAGACAATAATAATTTTTTTTTTACAACCGATTTCAATGGGAGGTTAACCTCCATGGCCTGTCAGAACCTGTTGCATGGCTCTTGTCAAGAGTCACTCTGTTGTTTTGTTGTTTTATTTTCTTATTGAATGGAGAAGATGAGAGAATGGATGTTTAGCCACAGGTTGATTCTGAAGTCCCACTTAAAGGCCCTATAATCTACTTTTACCTAGTTTCAATCAATACATTAACACAGGGGTCAAGTGGCAGAGAGGTCACTTTTCCCACTTTTACCCAAGGCTGATTTTTTTTGGTAAGAAAAAATCTTAGAGATCATTTTAAAATGCTAATCCTCGCCATAAGTGGACAGTTGAATGAAACTCTGGAGGTTTACAGTTTTGGAGCAGTGACAAGCCAAAACATAAAAAGTAGTATACTTTTATCAATATATGACCTCAGTAAGCTCTAAACAACTATCAGGTGACACATTCCTAACTTCCTAATTAGTTACAACACTGAAATACTATGTCAAGATACCAGCTGAGATATACAGGGATGAAGTTGAAAAGGTTTGATAATACAATCTTAGGTCATTGATTCAGACCACAGGAAGGCACGTTTTGATAACCTTGACTTATGTTGTTATGATTTTTGTTTTAAATTATAGGAAAGATCTTTCGTTTGTTTTTTTTCAAAATACCTCCCAGAATCGTAGTGCTGGTTAGAATGTTGATAAATGCCAAACATCTGGTTACTTCCTCTCAATTCATGGCAATTCTGAATAAATTCATGTCTTCTTCCCCTAAAAACTCCAAATCAGCTTACATTTGTTCTTCTAAGGTTTTTTAAGAAAATGTTTTTTTTTCCCAAAGAATTTTACCAATTTTCACACGCACACAATTTGTAAAATGTAGAATTGGTACGGTATAAGTAATTTAAGCATCAGCTATAAATAGAATAGATTCTGCATGATAAGGTATATGAAGGATGCCATGTCAGTATGTATACAGTGTGCTTGGCTTACGGCTGGTGTAATTTTATTTATTAAACTTTCATGTTTGTTTACTGCAGTTTTGTTGATTAAAAAAATTGAATACATTTCTCTGACACATGGTTTTAATGGACTATTCTCTGACAAATGGTTTTAATGGACTATTTTCCTTCTATTAATTTTACTTCTTTGTGCATAAAAAAAATTATTATGTTGTTCATACTTTGTGATGCGGTCGTAAAGATAAATATTAACTCATTCCCTCCTGCAATGCTACTTCCGTATTTAATTTATTTGCCTGAGAAAGGGAAGTAACCCCGTTTGGAAATTGTTTACATTTTTTTAAAAATGTATTTAAGCTACTAAATATTATTTAATGTTAATGAATTAAGAACAAATGCAACAAAAAATTAATAAGGTTTAATATAAATATAACATTAGCGGGGAAAAAATAATGAACAATGACCAAAAAATCGATTTTCGGCACCTCGGACGAACACATGCTACATATAGACGCGCCGTACTAAAGCACACGTAGTTTTAAAGCGAAACAAGATAAAAACTTCCGGTTTTTAAATTAAAATCACGCTGAACCACGCCATCGCCGGAAGTCTCGAGGGATGCGAGATTTCATTGCTATTTTTAAATAGCTATGAGAGAGGTGTGTCGCTATGCGCCGGGACGCATTTGGACGCATCCGGCGAATCCCTAAAAGTAAAAGACGCATTTAGTCGCAACCGTCGGGAATGAGTTAAGCCAGTTAGCATGTTATAGCTCTTGGACATCAATCTTCTCACTTGAGTCTAATCCTTCATTTAAGTTTTATTGAACATTTTCTTTTAAATAAAAAAGTTAAAAATTCAGTGTACAGGTGCATAGTTCTAAAGAGGTTAATTCAACTAATTTATAAATAGTTTTAAATATGATCTGTCCATTTAAATTAGTGTTACAGATTAAACTACAGTATATTAGTATTAGAAATTTGTGAAGTTAGGACAAGGGGCAGTGTTGATTTTGGAGATTTTTTCAGCTAAGCCAGTTGTTTCAAATTGTTTTTATTCTAGGCGCCCTGGACATATTTAATTTTTCTTGTTGGAGCCCTTTATCAAATTTTAACAATTATAATTAAATAAAGCAAATATTTTAAAATTAAATACTTGGGTAAAAATAAATAAATTAACTGTGGGGCCATGATGATTAATTGTAGTGCTATACTGATGAACTACCTATTGATAAAAATAAAATGTTACAAGTAATTCAAATAGTTTTATTTCACAATTGGCAGTAATAGTTCATTTTAAAGTCATAGACTTACACACAGACCATTAATACAACAATAAATAAAATGCTTGCCAGCTTATGGAACATCTTTTTTTTTTACCTGCGTAACCTATCATCTGAACACAACATTCAGGTTAAAGTTCAACTCATTGCTTAAAAACAAAATGTTTAAATCAACAACAGAGCCCTGTAAGGTATTTCTGGGATAATGTTAAAATATTTACCACTGCACATTTTCAGCCATTTATTTCATTTGTTTAAAAATTTTGAACACGGCCCATTTAAAAAATACACCCCCTACCCAACACCCCCAGTTCTATTTAATTATTAGGTCAACTATTAAAACAACAGATTAAATTTATAACAGGAAGTGAACCTAGTCTTCCTTATAATAACAACAAAACTTATTGATTTGGGAGAAATCTAAATTGTACGCTGTACCATACTGGTACAAATACTTGAAATCATTTCAACAAGAAACTAAACACTTCAGCTAAGGTCAGAAATAAATGCAGTATGAGTAACACAAAGGAGTTAAAAATTTGATTGCAATATCTTCAGTATCTACATGATTATTATAATATGAACTGACAAATATTAAATAAAACTACTGCTAATAAAAGCTTAAGTTCCTCATTCCAGGCAAAGAGCTTTACAATCATTTTTAAAAATATGGGACAATGACCTAATTTTATTTCTTCAACAAGACTATTGTGCCAATAGACAGATAAGATAAGAACTCTACTTAAATGTACAAGTACAATGTCCTCCAAGCATGTCACCGATTCTTTCTTAAGACTAAGTGCCGTCCTAATTTATTTAAACTAATATATGCATTTAATCAATGACTTACTCTAATGGAAGACTGGTCGCCACATTAAAACTTGATGTTGCCTCTTCAAATCTTTCATTATAACTTTTTATCTCTGACCTACCGGTACTTCTAATAAGCCAGCCGTAATCAAGAAATCTTTGATGTAAGTTATGGAAAAACAAAGAAAGGTTAAGTTGTATAACATATACCACGTACACAAATTTACATACAAAAACAGCCTTAAAAGTAAGATTCAATTTACAATCATGCCAAAAATGTCACATTCACTCAACAGCCACATTATATCTAATCAGGTCCGAAAGTCATCTGGCCAGCACCACCTTTTTTCATAAACCGTCGGTACTTTTTATAACTTGCATTCTCTGCCAATTTAGTTTTCATCTCTTCCTCCTTTTTAGCCTTCCAAACCTGCAGGGGGACAGAGAGAGAGAGAGAGAGTTAGGATAGGTGACATTTTAAGAAGAGAACAAAAAATGAGGCCCATAAATAATGGATAAATATGCTCACGTGGGAATGTGGTCCATAAGGGATAGCTATGATCAGATAGTGATGTGGTCAATAATGGATATATATGACCAGATAGTGATGTGGTTCTTCTTTCATAAATTATTTTATATGATCAGTTAGTGATGTGGTACATAATTCATAAATTATTAGAAATGATCAGTTAGTGATGTGGTCCATAATTCATAAATTATTAGATATGATCAGTTAGTGATGTGGTCCACAATAGTGATACATTTGTATCACATTTTTCATCCATGATGTGGGCATAAATTGTGGATATTAATAATTTGCTGTCTTTAAAATGGATTAATTCCTGGTTTGTATAACTGGCATCAAATCCTAGTTGGTCTTAACTGGCATAAAAATAAAGATCATTAGTTCTTAATGTCAGGTAAACAAGAGGTCAATGCACAAGGTGCTCCGGACTGACTGGCAATATTTTGTGGGAGTGGGTGCTCCTGACTGACTGGCAATATTTTGTGGGAGTGGGTGCTCCGGACTGACTGGCAATATTTTGTGGGAGTGGGTGCTCCGGACTGACTGGCAATATTTTGTGGGAGTGGGTGCTCCAGACTGACTGGCAATATTTTGTGGGAGTGGGTGCTCCAGACTGACTGGCAATATTTTGTGGGAGTGGGATCTGAAGAGCATTTTGGGGGGGTGGGTGGTCCGGAACTGACTGGCAATATTTTGTGGGAGTGGGTGCTCCAGACTGACTGGCAATATTTTGTGGGAGTGGGTGCTCCGGACTGACTGGCAATATTTTGTGGGAGTGGGTGCTCCGGAACTGACTGGCAATATTTTGTGGGAGTGGGTGCTCCAGACTGACTGGCAATATTTTGTGGGAGTGGGTGCTCCGGACTGACTGGCAATATTTTGTGGTGCTTGATGTCTGTAAGCATATTCTTTTTAAACTGCCAACAGTTTATCTAGTCAGACTGACTGAACCAATGCCTGTCCGTAGCATTTGTCCAACAAAAACTGTGAACAGGAAAAGACAGCAGGTTTGAATTACCCTGGGTCATCCCCTGCTACTGGCAAATTTCCAGGATGGCATTTTATTTACTTATTTATTTATACAGTAATAATTTAGGCTCAACACATCTTTTCAAATGCCAATAGTTAACGTAATAGGGGCATCTAATTGGCCAATAGTTAGCCTAATAGGGGCATCTAATTGGCCAATAGTTAGCCTAATTGGGGCATCTAATTGGCCAATAGTTAGCATTATAGGGGATCTAATTGGCCAATAGTTAGCATTATAGGGGATCTAATTGGCCAATAGTTAGCCTAATAGGGGTAGCTTATTGGCCAATAGTCAGCTAATAGGGGTAGCTTATTGGCCAATAGTTAGCATTATAGGGGATCTAATTGGCCAATAGTTAGCATTATAGGGGCATCAAATTGGCTAATAGTTAGTTTAATAGGGGCATCTAATTGGCCAATAGTTAGCATTATAGGGGCATCTAATTGGCCAATAGTCAGCTAATAGGGGTAGCTTATTGGCCAATAGTTAGCCTAATAGGGGCAGCTAATTGGCCAATAGTCAGCTAATAGGGGTAGCTTATTGGCCTATAGTCAGCTAATAGGGGCAGCTAATTGGCCAATAGTTAGCCTAATAGGGGTAGCTTATTGGCCAATAGTTAGCATTATAGGGGCATCTAATTGGCCAATAGTTAGCCTAATAGGGGCAGCTAATTGGCCAATAGTCAGCTAATAGGGGTAGCTTATTGGCCAAATAGTCAGCTAATAGGGGCAGCTAATCGGTCAATAGTCAGCCCAATAGGGGCAGTTTTTCTTAGGGATGAGGTAAACCTAGAGGGGAAACACCCCCGCCCCCCACAAACACCATACCAGTAGGTGTCGAATACAGTTAAATAAAACCCAAGTAAACTCACTTGAAAATAGGATTTGATCCACAACTTATTGGCCAGGTGCTCATCTATTTCATGTTCTTCCTGAGCCTGGGCAGAAAACAAAAAACTCACAAGTTAGGATGTGTTCAATCCAGAACCATACATGACATTTTGACATCAAACTGGGTAGCATTAATCTTAATCCACACTTACATCAAAATGGATATGGGTTAATCCTCATCCCCACTTAAATAAACTGGATATGGGTTAATCCAAATCCGCACTTACATCCAACTGGGTTTGGGTTAACTCATCCTGATGGCAGTGCTACTTCCATACTTCAAATATATTCCTGGGAAAGGTAAGCAGCTCTGTTTTGCGATTGATGAGCATTTGTAAAATATTTTTTTAGCTTCTAAATATGAATTAATATAAATGAATCAAGGTTCAATGCATCCAGAAGTGAATAAAGTTTCATAAATATATAACATTAACGGTGAACAAGGATCATGCAAAGACAAAAAAATCAATCTTTGACACCTTGGATTAAGACATCGTACACGCACCGTACTAAAGCACCGTATTAAAGCACAGTATTAAAGAACCTTACTAAAGCACAGTAGTAAAGAACCTTACTAAAGCACCGTACTAAAGCACCATATTAAAGAACCGTACTAAAGCACCGTTTTAAAGAGCCTTACTAAAGCACCGTACTAAAGAACCTTACTAAAGCACCGTACCAAAGAACCTTACTAAAGCACTGTATTAAAGAAACTTACTAAAGGACCTTACTAAAGCACCATACTAAAGCACAGTATTAAAGAACCTTACTAAAGAGCCGTATTAAAGCACACTATTAAAGAGCCTTACTAAAGCACCGTACTAAAGCACCGCATTAAAAGCACCGTACTAAAGCACCGTATTAAAGAACCTTACTAAAGCACACATAGATTGAAAGTGAAGTAACATAAAAACTTCCAGCTTTTCAATTGAGTGATGTGTCAGAACCCGTGGACGAGGCATTTTGTCGCAGTAAATCCTAATCCACACTTACATCAAACTGGCTTTGGGTTAATCCTAGATTTTTTCTGATGAGGTAAAGCTGCTCCTCCGTGCCGTACTCCTCCCCATGGATGTTGAACTTCCAAACCCACCTGACCCACCAGGTCACGTACATGGCTATATGGTATGGTAGCAGGGCCAGCTGGAGCCACAGTACATCAGTGATTTGGGGTTTTCTGTAGCCGCCCCTGGAGACACAAGCGTGGGGATAATTAGTTGAATGATAATTAACAGAACATGGCTTTAGGGTAGGTTAGTTTAGCCAGGAGTGGGTGATTTGGGGTTTTCTGTAGCCGCCCCTTGGGACAAAAACAAGGAGACGGTTGCAATGTCATTGATCACAGCTAACAGCTGTATGACAAGAATGACTTGGATGAATCTCCTCAACCCAATTCAACCAGCCAGTCAATACAAAATTTATTGATTTTTTTGGTTCTATCTTTGTACAATGCCATGGACATAAATGTACAAAGGTTCAATTTCTGTCCCTTTGTTGTAATGAATAGGAAATATTTCCCTCCAATTTTAAAAAAATAGAATTTACCCATGAATTTTTTTGCTATTTGAGGACTGGGGAAATCATATCCAAAACTAAGCTGTGTATCAAATAGAGTGTGTCCGAGGCATTGGTAAATAGGTTAAAAAGATTCTGTAACAGACATTTTCTGGCAGTGTATTTCTGTAACAGACATTTGCTGGCACAATGAAATAGAAGAATGAAACTAACAATAAAAAAGAAGATAAAAAGAATGTTGAAGTTGTTGAAACCTTGGAAAGACATCGTTCAGATCACATTACATAAAAGATTTCAAAACCACTTTAATCTAAAAACCAACAAAATGATAGTTGCAAAATAGAGACATGCAGTTGTCACTTGTTGATGCCAGAGACATGCAGTTGTCACTTGTTGATGCCAGAGACATGCAGTTGTCACTTATTGATGCCAGAGACATGCAGTTGTCACTTGTTGATGCCAGAACTTATTTTATATCAAAACTAGCGACATGCAGTTGTCACTTATTGATGCCAGAGACATGCAGTTGTCACTTGTTGATGCCAGAGACATGCAGTTGTCACTTGTTGATGCCAGAACTTATTTTATATAAAAACTAATAGAACCAGTTTTATTTTCAGGAGCTCCTCTTTACAAGATGAACAACTTTTGTGATCAAGAAATCCCTAAACTAGAATTAGAAAAAATCCCTAAACTAGAAGACCAAAACATCTATACTGGCCAAAAGATGAAAGGAAGTAAAAGGCCAAAAGATGACAGGAAGTAAAAGACCAAACATCTGTACTGGCCAAAAGATGACAGGAAGTAAAAGGCCAAAAAATGACAGGAAGTAAAAGACCAAACATCTGTACTGGCCAAAAGATGACAGGAAGTAAAAGGCCAAAAGATGACAGGAAGTAAAAGGACAAAACATCTGTACTGGCCAAAAGATGACAGGAAGTAAAAGACCAAAACATCTGTACTGGCCAAAAGATGACAGGTAGTAAAAGAATCTTGGTATCATTAATTTGAAATATAAGAATTTAACTTACAAAAAATGTATTTTAAAAATATAAAGATTATAATAAATTAATTTAATAAATAAGAAAAGATGAGAATGGTGATATGGTCCTGAAAATCTTAAATAATTTATATTTATACCTTATTCTCGACATTGTAAAAGTGCAGGAAATCAGAGCGATAAGGGATGAATACATATGATGAGCTTTTGTGTTGAGCTCCAATGAAATTAGATGAAATGCCTTGTTCAATTTCACAAAAATGTTCACTGAACCTATCATATAATCATCTGCCCATTTCACACATATAACAGAAGCAGCACATACAGCAGACATTCAAACAGATCACGTTGAGACTAATAAAAAGTCTCCTCATTGCAAACATTATGTCCACTTAGACCAAACATCATGTCCACTCAGTACACATTTATGTTCACTCAGTACACATTTATGTCCACCCAGTACAAATTTATGTTCACTTAGTGCACACCTTATGTCCACTTAGTACACACCTTATGTTCACTTAGTACACACCTTATGTTCACTTAGTACACACCTTATGTTCACTTAGTACACACCTTATGTTCACTCAATACACATTTATGTCCACCCAGTACACATTTATGTTCACTTAGTACACACCTTATGTTCACTTAGTACACACCTTATGTTCACTTAGTACACACCTTATGTCAACTTAGTACAAACCTTATGTTCACTTAGTACACACCTTATGTCCACTTAGTACACACCTTATGTCCACTCAGTACACACCTTATGTCCACTTAGTACAAACCTTATGTTCACTTAGTACACACCTTTGTTCACTTAGTACACACCTTATGTCCACTTAGTACAAACCTTATGTTCACTTAGTACACACCTTATATCCAGCTTATCTTCAATGATCCGTCTTATTGTTGCCTCTTCCTCAGCTTTAATTTCCTCCTGTGGTTAGAGAGAGATCAATGACAGCACTTTATAGTCTCACCTTACAAGTAAACTGACATTAAACTCATTGCTTACATTGACTGCTTCTTCTTTGGTCCATTGACAGTTTCATTGTTTTTATTAGTGAGATGGTTAACTAAATTTCTGAGCAATTTAATCACATAAGGCATGGGTTAGGAGATCTTAAGACAAGGCTTAGGAAATCATAAGACATGGCTTAGGACATCATAAGACATGGCTTAGGATATCATAAGACATGGCTTAGGACATCATAAGACATGGCTTAGGAATCATAAGACATGGCTTAGGACATCATAAGACATGGCTTAAGACATCATAAGACATGGCTTAGGACATCATAAGACATGGCTTAGGACATCATAAGACATGGCTTAGGACTGAATAAGCATCTGCTTAGGACATCATAAGACATGGCTTAGGACTGAATAAGCATCTGCTTAGGACATCATAAGACATGGCTTAGGACTGAATAAGCATCTGCTTAGGACATCATAAGACATGGCTTAGGACTGAATAAGCATCTGCTTAGGACATCATAAGACATGGCTTAGGACTGAATAAGACATCGCTTAGGACATCATAAGACATGGCTTAGGACATCATAAGGCATGGCTTAGGACATCATAAGGCATGGCTTAGGACATCATAAGGCATGGCTTAGGACATCATAAGACATGGCTTAGGACATCATAAGACATGGCTTAGGACATCATAAGACATGGCTTAGGACATCATAAAACATGGCTTAGGACATCATAAGACATGGCTTATTAAAACATAATAAAACATGGTTCATTCTATCAACTTGTACAGGATTTAAACAAAAGGGAGCTAATTTTTGTGGTGAGGTATGCAATTAGAATAGCAACAAGAAGTTAGATTGTGGCAGATCTTTTTGTCCACTGATATTAAGTTAAAAATCAGAAATATTCTTTACAAACTGAGCAGCCACGAAGGACCTATCCAAACACACATGTATTGAACTGCACACTACCATCACCCAAACACACATGTATTTAACTGCCACGTACCATCACCCAAACATACATGTATTTAACTGAACAGTACCATCACCCAAACATACATGTATTTAACTGCCACGTACCATCACCCAAACATACATGTATTTAACTGCCACGTACCATCACCCAAACATACATGTATTTAACTGAACAGTACCATCACCCAAACATACATGTATTTAACTGAACAGTACCATCACCCAAACATACATGTATTTAACTGAACAGTACCATCACCCAAACATACATGTATTTAACTGAACAGTACCATCACCCAAACATACATGTATTTAACTGAACAGTACCATCACCCAAACATACATGTATTTAACTGAACAGTACCATCACCCAAACATACATGTATTTAACTGAACAGTACCATCACCCAAACATACATGTATTTAACTGAACAGTACCATCACCCAAACATACATGTATTGAACTGCTCAGTACCATCACCCAAACATACATGTATTGAACTGCCACGTACCATCACCCAAACACACATATATTGAACTGCCCAGTACCTTATTTTTTTTATGTTTCTTTTTGTTGTCATTGAGCAGCCCCTCAGTCCTGGCAATGTCCATGGCTCTCATCCTGTACTTCTGGTCCTTGCACAGGTAATTCAGGGCTGTCGTGTAGTTGTTCCATGCACCCAGATACTAAGAGGAAAAGTACAAGCAGCAATTAAACTGGAGAAAGTTTTTTTTAAAGTAGGAGGAAGTGGCTGATTTACGAATTTGCAGCTTACAAGAATTAGCCATAAATTTCAAATTTTCAAATGTCAATTAGAAATATAGATTTAAAAAGGTAAAAATGTTATTGAATTTGTAAAAACCTGTTGATAGTCTGTTTTCCATCATACATAAACATGTAGATCTTTTGCCATTTTTATTATACAACAATATTGGGTTATATTACTTATACAGTATAAGGATATATTGTTATATTATGGATATAAGGATCTATAGCAATAACATTTGATCTGCATCTTTTGTTATATTACTTGTATTAGGACCTATTAAAAAAACCTGTATTAGAATCTATTGTAGTATCACCTGTATTCAGACCTATTGTAAAAAACCTGTAATAGAATCTATTGTAACATGACTTGGTTTAGGATCTGTTATTTAACATGACATAGGGACATATTGCTATGAGGACCTGTCTTTCCATTACCTGTATGACTGAGATAACAGTTATGGCAACGGCAATGACAAGGCGCACATCCACCTTAGGCGCCACCCTTCTCCTGTAGTAGCGGTAGTAATGGGAGAAATACTCATCTGGTCAGAGGAGCAAATGGAAAGAATGAACAGGAAGCCAAAAACAAAATCAATGCGGCCTTCACCAGTGGCGGTTGACTATTGTTAACCCTTTAATGGCGTCACCAGTGGCAGTGGACTATTGTTAACCCTCTAATGACCACAGTTGGGATTTTTAAGTGTCATGATTTAATAGTAGTTCTCATCTTTTTTTCAATCAATGTTTATGATATGCCAGCTAATCAAGGCTGAGCTAAAGCGTCATGATATGCCAGCTAATCAAGGCTGAGCTAAAGCGTCATGATATGCCAGCTAATCAAGGCTGAGCTAAAGCGTCACTAATGAAAGAATAAAAACATATATTTTTTTAACCACCAAAATTTGGTTACATGTGTATTTGTGAATAAAACCCACATACAGACACCTGTTTTCTTTAAAAATATACTGTGAAACTATTACAGGAGTATGGAATAATCACGTATAATTTAACCCATTTCCCCATTGACAGATATGGCAGGTATGACTTGCATTATCATTTTGAAAATCTAAACATTTTTTTATTTTCCTTTTTTTTTTGGTTATAATTTAATCTTTTACTTCTAATTCTATCCATTAGTCATATATAATAGAAATCCCATACCAGGGTTATCCAGCATGTAATCATAATCTGCACGTTGTTCCTCATCACGTAAGATCTGGGGGAGCCAAGAGTTGGTGGTCAGAACTGATAGTGTAGTGGCAAGTGGACAACAGACCATACAAAAAATTATTAAATGGTAGAAAGTAAACATTTAAATAACATAATTTTATATAAGTATTAGTAACAGTTGTTCAGATAACTGAGAAGCTGTTGGCTATAAGCGAAGCCTGTATGCGCCTCAACTCATTTACATGGTGCTTATTTCCTAATAAAAACACCACGTATATTTTCATACAGTCTAACAACAAAGCTTACCTCATAAGCATTGGCTATCTTAAGGAACATCTTGGACGCATCGTCTTTGTCCGCCTGTTAAATGTAAACGATGAAGAAAAATTAAATTAGCCAATAGCATATATGAGATATTTTGTATTCAAAGCTTCAATCCTTCTTTTGAAAAAAACAGACCCTCATAATTAATATTAGCCCCAGTCCCTCCCCAAATATTCTGCAATGAGCAATATGTTGAAGTTAGTGGTTTTCAACTTTAAAAAAAATCTGAAAGACACACTTCAATAAAAAAAATAATTTTCTCAGCACACCACAAAAACATAAACAAATTAAAAATTTGTTCAAACTGTTTTGGTGAGCAACAGCATCCAAGAAAATTCTATGAACTATCTTTCAGTGATAAGTCCAATGTTACAGACATCAACTTTTAATCCTATATTTCAAAATCTTGCTACACAACTGTTTGTATTCCTACAGAAAAAAATATTTAGATTTTAAATATTTGTCTGATATCAACACGCTCATCTAAGTTATACAATCCTTTTCCATGACTCTTATCCTCTGGAAGTAAGGCAAGCCCACTCTGAGAAGTCTTAGAATGAAAATTTGTGACCACTAAGGGATTTTAGAGTGACCTTGAAAGGACTCAAAGAACAGTTTTGCTAATGACTGACTTTTAATAAACAAGTCCTCTATTGTGACTTCTTGTCACTATCTCCCTATACAAAAAGCAAGTCCTCTATTGTGACTTCTTGTCACTATCTCCCTATACAAAAAGCAAGTCCTCTATTGTGTCTTCTTGTCATTATCTCCCAATACAAAAAGCAAGTCCTCTATTGTGACTTCTTGTCATTATCTCCCAATACAAAAAGCAAGTCCTCTATTGTGACTTCTTGTCATTATCTCCCAATACAAAAAGCAAGTCCTCTATTGTGACTTCTTGTCATTATCTCCCAATACAAAAAGCAAGTCCTCTATTGTCACATTTTGTCACTATCTCCCAAAACAAAAAACAAGTCCTCTATTGTCATATTTTGTCACTATCTCCCTGTACAAGGAGCGGGTAATTTGTGAGGTTATTTTACAGAATAAATACATCACATTATCCCAGAACTGGTAACCAACCTGTTTCCTGTGCATATCTGGATGCCATTTTTTGGCCAACTTTCTGTAAGCTTTGGTTATTTCCCCCTGTTATAAAAAATGAAACTAATTTAGGAGCAGGCTTGAAAAGAAAAGGAGAGAAAAGAACAGTTCAAAGGAGACAAAGAACTTTTTTTGGACATAATATTTACAGTTAAAGATAAAAAGATGATGTCAAACCAAGTGTCAGCTCTTTCTCTCAGTGATATATTACATAAATCTGTTAAAGGAGTCCATTTTTGTAAGACTTATTGAATCAAATCAAAGTATTTTGAATCCCAATTTTTTAAATGACAACTATTACCTTAGTTGCATCTCTAGACACATCAAGAACTGAAATAATAAATAAAGAAGTTTACTTTCGTGATAGCTTAAACTTAAAAGTTTATTAAATTCATAAAATTTGCCTTGTTCCATTTCTTTATGGTAGGCCTACCAGTAGCTTCATAACAGTATTTTATACATTGTGTGATAAGTGCCAAAATTGTCTAATACGGGTGCAGACAACTTTTCTGTTACTTAGCCATCTACGTTGATGCGCAGCATGAGTTGAATGAGTCTTACATTTTGTATGGCAGTGCCCATATAATTATTTGTGCAGACCTATCAATCAAAAGGGAAAGCACTTATTAAGTAGGTCATATGTGTAAAATGTTGTCTTTTGGCTCCAATTACAGGTTGATTTCATGATGCAGATATAATTATATAATGCTATGAATAATATCATTTAAGGGAGTCCACAATTACATTTTTTTCTGTAGCACTTCCTTGGGCCTAACACTTCGTTTAACAAAGTTGAGTGTACTCTGTAAGTTGTAGGTTAGAAGTCTATACATGTTTGAGTTTGAGCATGGGGATGAAGTGGGCCTATCGGTAGTATTAAATAAGTTACTAAATAAGCTAGGTCTAGGAAAGACAAGTTTCCATTTGTTGGAGACCAAAATGTCAAGCTGCTACTTAATCATTAGAAAGGTAATTAATTTAATTGATTTCACTTTAGATGTGGACCATGCCCCCCCCCCCCCCCCCCCCAATAAGCTAGGTCTAGGAAAGACAAGTTTCCATTTGTTGGAGACCAAAATGTCAAGCTGCTACTTAATCATTAGAAAGGTAATTAATTTAATTGATTTCACTTTAGATGTGGACCATGCCCCCTCCCCCCCACACTCAATAATGTGTTTACATCAGATAGCAGTATTTTAAAATGTAAATGTTTGTGACTTAGTTTTTTTTACATTAGTTATCATCCTTAGCGCCCCAATGAAAGAAAATATGAAAAAAAAGAGGCCTCACTTGCTTGGAAAGTTTGAATAAACTATTGGACAAATAGCATTTTATGCAGTTTCATCTTGTGCAATGGTATAGACAATACAGAATAAACAGTATAGTGGAGATAGAATAGTATAGAACAGACAGTTAATGCCTATTTTAGAAAGAAAGATGTAAGTTCTATTTAAATGAGGCAGGATGATGGAGCATTCAAACTACTATAGATAACAGTGAAAGCCTACTAACAACTATTCTGTATTTTAGTATAAGAATAGCTCTAAGTAGGCCTATTACCAGGGGTCAAGTCCTGGAAATAACTGTGGGAAAACGTCAAATACATTTTATTAATAAACATGTATTTATATCTTAGCAAATTACCAAAATAAGTAAACCTGTTTGCCTTAATAATAATATAAGTATAGGCATCACACTGGGTTATGATGTTCTTTATAATCATATCTGCATAATGAATAATGCATACCTTACAAATTACTTAATTTGTAATTGGCAGTATCTACACGTCCAACGACCGGACAAATAATGCGGGAGATATTCTGTCTTGGGCATGTCACGTGACCGCTGGACGACTAGTAGGTGGTATTATTCTGGCAGGCATATCATTTCACAAGAGGTTGTCGGCAAAATAGTTGCACTGCATATGATATTCCAATATTGTGTATATATATATATATATATTTTAGTCAGCCGATCCCTAGATAATAAATAAATACTGAATATGTTAATATTTTCAAATACTTTGAGATAAAGTGTATCATAAGCTTTTTCACTTTGAATTAAAACTATTATAATAATAGTAGGCCTATATACTAGACTATTTGAACCTGACTTCAAAAAAAAGAGGGGGCCTTATCTTGGTTTAAATATTTTATAAAGCTCTACCAAGTAGCCTAAATTTAAAATATGAACCAAACACAATAATAGCAATACCTGTCAGTTGACTTTCAATAGACCTACTTCAAAAAAGTTTTATTTTAGGCAATTAATATTGTGTGAGAAGTAGGCTATATTGGCCCTATATTAAGATGTAGGGTCTATTTCTTTATGAACTATAGCTTTAATTATTTATCCCCCTCACTATCATTTTTATCCTTTCTCTCTTGCTCTCAGTATTTCTTCCTTCAAGTAGGCATTGCTACCCCCCCCCCTTTTTAAAAATTAAGTTTACCCGTCGCCCACATACATTGCCGACACCATTTTACTGATCTCCTATTAACAGTCACATGACAAGGCTGACGGTCAAATATCTCGCGCAGCTTTGTTACGGCGATCATGTGAGTTGGTCGCCGGACGTATATCTCGAGAACTTATTCGTCCGGTCGCCGGACATATAGACGCTCTGTTAGTACCTAAACTAAAACTAAAGGCTAATTTAAAGCTTATTCCACTAAAAACTGAATTGTCAACTCACAACAGCAGGTCACAGCCTAACTCCAAAACCAACAAAACAGTTTTAAAAAACAGGCTTACGCCTACATTTATCTGATTACTGTCAGTGTCAGTGGAATGTCTGAACACCATCATTACTATTATTTTATTATTATTAAATTCTGTCTCAATAATAGTCATATATATTTAAAAGCAAATACCTTCATAACAATTTTCTACCCCACAATAGAGGCCTTCTATGAAAGCATGCGCTGTTAATATACAAGAAGCCCAAACAATAAGATAAATAACACGTATGTTGACAGGCGCAGCCATTTGAAAGGAGCTCTTTGGCAAAAGAAATTGAAGAAGCATAGGAAAGGGAGTTAATTGGGGAAATAGTCTTAATAAATTTTGGAATATAATTTAATTAACATGGATTGAATACAAAGAAGATAATTTAAAATAGAAGATTCTTAGAAGAATTTGCAATGAAAATTCAAATAAAATCGTTAAAACACTTATATAGTTAATTTATTCTACCTCAGCGTGTTTCGGCTATGGCATGAGCTTCGTAAAAAAAACAATTTTTACATAAATTACATTTAAATTTAAATAAACTTTAATAAATCAATTTCACTCATTATCACTCATAGAGAAATCGTTTTTTCTAAAATTAAAATAATTTATTCACTAAACATTATGCAAGTCAAAGACAAACCAGGCACAATGCAATAAAATTCTTTTTTTACCAATCTTTTATTTTAATGCAGAACAGACCATAGTATCAGAGAAATGGTTTTGTTTCAGTTGGAAGTGGAAGTTGTAAGGGGAATTATAACTAATCTTTACTATAAGAATGCTTTAAGCAGTTATTTCCCTTTATTCGTGATTCGTGCTGGCATTAAAAGTAATGACATTTGACTTTATTTCTCGATGCCCATTAGTAATAAGATTAGTGTAATCACAACTGCATTATTTTAGGCATTCTAAGGGGAAGATTATGGATGCTCTTATATTATGCTGCGATGGATCTTTTGCCCCCTCTCCGACCCCCCCCACCCACAAATAATTTATTTGTTTTAAAAAAAAAACCAAAGTGGTGGGCACATTTAAAAAAGAATACTGTAATGAGTAATGCATTGACAATCAAGTTATTTTTTATTCTTTGTTCAGCTTTGGACAATTATATAATTTATATGAAATGTAATGGTCGACTATATGTGTTGCCATCTATATGTACCTAGGTTTGACGCAGCGATACAATAACATACTTCGAAGACCTACAAATTACAGGTAGCTAAAATTAGAGGCGTCCAGAATGGAGTAAAGAGGTCTACTAAAGATGTCATTCATCACCAAGGATTCACTATTTATCTGTATATTATGAGCATCCATCATAGTAGAAGTACAGTTTTATGATAGGAACACCATTTTATGACAGGAACCCCATTTTATGATAGGAACACCATTTTATGACAGGAACACCATTTTATGATAGGAACACCATTTTATGATAGGAACCCCATTTTATGATAGGAACACCATTTTATGACAGGAACACCATTTTATGATAGGAACACCATTTTATGACAGGAACAACATTTTATGATAGGAACACCATTTTATGTCAGGAACACCATTTTATGATAGGAACACCATTTTGTGATAGAAACACTATTTTGTGATAGGAAAACCATTTTATTATAGGAACACCATTTTATGACAGGAACACCATATTCTATTGAAGGCGGCGCCTTATTCCCGGGGATCAACGTATCGCAGCAATAAAAAAACTATTATATCATTAAGTACTTTTATATCATCAAGTATTTTTATATCATCAAGTACTTTTATATCATCAAGTACTTTTATATCATCAAGTACTTTTATATCATCAAGTACTATTATATCATCAACTAATTAAACCATTCTAATCCTGCGACACGTGGATTGTTATATATTTTTTATCTTGAATCTCCGTGAGCACACAAACATGCTTAAACATAACCACGTCATGATATCGTACATAACCATGTCATGATATCGTACAGAACCACGTCATGATATCGTACATAAGCACGTCATGATATCGTACATAACCACGTCATGATATCGTACATAACCATGTCATGATATCGTACATAACCACGTCATGATATCGTACATAACCATGTCATGATATCGTACATAAGCACGTCATGATATCTTACATAAGCACGTCATGATATCGTACATAAGCACGTCATGATATCGCACATAACCACGTCATGATATCGTACATAACCACGTCATGATATCGCACTAACGCACGTCATGATATCGTACATAACCACGTCATGATATCGTACATAAACACGTCATGATATCGTACATAACCACGTCATGATATCGTACATAACCACGTCATGACATCGTGCGAGATTTTAAGTATTTCTTGGTCTAACTTTATAATATCGTGCCTGTATGATGTGTCACACACTGTTTTTACTTATTTTCATCCCCCCCCCACCCCCAGTCATTGACCAAAACGAAGTTCTTCAAATATAGGATTTAACTTCGGCTCTGCAATAAGTTGGGATTTTTTTTTCTTTTTTTCCAAATTATGTAGGCTATAAATAGACAAAGAGACGGACGAATGTTGATTCCACTTTTGTTCAGATTGAACGTTGTATTTACGACATCGGGTCACGACACCCCCCCCCCCCCCACATAAACCGTTTCGCCTGACTTGTATGATTGTGTTGTGAGCGCTGCACGTGACAGCTGATACAATAGATTTGTTGTTGATGGGGATTCTCCCTTTTCTTTTAAATATAGAAAGTTTGTTTAATGACATCATCACAAGTTATGTCTCCGCTACATTAGCCACTTAAACAACCATCGAATCCATGGACGTGGGAAGCACAAGCTGCCATGGGGAAAAGCGTAAATTTAGCGCCCTCTTCCGTGAAAAGTAAATATAATACACTTTGTTTTGTATGAAAAATGACGAATGTGACGCACTCTGAACATGGCGCTTGGCGTACCGTCACTTGGGCCCTGCAACACTGGTGACTGACTTAAGGGGACCTCATAATTTAAATGGGACCCAAAGTTGTGATGTGTGAAAAAAATATGAGAACTATCAACTTTGAATGCTTGGGGGTACGATACGGTACCAAAAACTGGCAAGCGGGTCTCCAACAGTCACACAAAGGCTCTTTCCATTTCCTTCGCACATCCCTGATCGCACCACTCCTCATAGTGTCGTTGATATGACAACAGAAAACGTTGAGCATTCGGTCCTCAGTTTTTCAAGTTGAGGAAGACCCGTGAACACTTGAACGCAGAGATGTCAACAAAAGAGGACCTATTTGGAAAGAGGTAGAGAGTAGAGCAAGAGCATGGAAGGCTTGGAAATCAATTGTTAACGGCATTATGCTCCACTGGGAGGTGAAAAGACAAGACAAGAAGTAGACTGGGTTGCCGGCCACTCATCCCCAACCCCCATTTGGCGTCTACATATAACAATACATGCAATCATTTTAAAGATTGTGTTTTTTTTTATTGAGCTCGAGATTTAAAGTCTCTCCCCAGACAAAAATGTTGAAGTTCGTCTTGCAATTTTAGACTTTCCTGAAGGCGTATCTCATATGACAAAAATGTTGAAGTTCGTCTTGCAATTTTAGACTTTCCTGAAGGCGTATCTCATATGACAAAAATGTTGAAGTTCGTCTTGCAATTTTAGACTTTAGTGAAATCAATTTGTTATTGCTATTTTGATGTTTTCACCAATCAGCTGTTATCCTAAATCCCGTGATGGCAAATGGTGAGACCGAATCGTGTAGCGAACATTGGTGCGACTCAATCGTGTAGCGAACATTGGTGAGACTGAATCGTGTAGCGAACATTACAGCATTGGTGAGACTGAATCATGTATCGAACATTACAACATTGGCGAGGCTGAATCGTGTAGCAAACATTAGAACATTGGTGAGACTGGATCGTGTAGCGAACATTGATGAGACTGAATCGTGTAGCGAACATTGGTGAGGCTGAATCGTGTAGCGAACATTAGAACATTGGTGAGACTGAATCGTGTGGCGAACATTAGAACAATGGTGAGACTGACTTTTGAGCCTCTCTGCCAGATTTTTTTTGCACCCCCCCCCCCCGCAACCTTGCATTCAAAGTTGATAATTTTAAAAAGGGTCCACACCAAAAATTTAAGCCCCTAACATATCTGAGGCTTACTGGTTGCAGGGCCCACATGATTTGTCCGAGGTCAAATGTCACAAACTTTTTAACTAGCATCTTTCCCGTTGCTCTCCTAATAATTGTAGAATGATGCAAAACTAAATTCAGTTATGTGCTAAAATGCATTCTTGCATATTGAATTGATCAAACTCTTTCTGGGGACTATAAAGATTTAAGGTTGACGCATTGCCCACACTTTTGCTCGAAAATATTCGACACCCCCAATTTCTGCTTCATTTACCCCCATCCGGACCCCTTTTTAGCGTCGATCATCGTGATATTACGTGTTGGAATCTAAGCTTGTGCCAAATGATTACCCTGGGGCACACCAAAACTGGAGTGAATTCAGTTCGAGCGCTTCGAGCCTTTGGGGATGAAGCGTGTTTTTGAAATAAACTTTATTATTATTATTATTATAACATGCGCACTAGGTACCATAATGAACACCCCCCCCCACCCCGACGCTTGCAAAATTCTTTCCTCCTATTAAGTAGTCAAATAGACACAATAAATTCAGTTATGCTTCAAAACCCAGCTTTTGATTTTAATCAAAACTTTTCTGGTGAGGGTCTCCACAAAGCCCCCCCACCACCCCCCTCCCGCTAAAGAGCCATCGGCGCCTTGGTTTTTTTTCTGCCTTACTTTCCCATAAAATGACGGTATAGTTGGCATTGACGGCCAATTCTGGTGCTGACAGATAAACTGCCTAGTGGCGCATTTAACGTTAGTGTCACTCTGAGCGGGCCAATAGTTTTGCCGAGCTCCCTTTCACGATACAAACTCTGCAGTCATCCAAAAATGCCACCCCTCATTATAAAGAAAAAGTGACACCTGGCCGGACCCCCACCCCCATCCGCCCTCTCCCTTCTATGCAGCGGGAGTGTTTTGTGCAAGGAGACAAGATTAAGTTTTACGTACGCTCTCCCACCCCCCCTCCACTCTGAAACCCATTATTTTCATCCATTAAATACCACCACTGCCCATTTTTAGCGCCCTCGCTAATCTGGCGCCCGAGGACCTCTGTCACACCCTGCCCCCGTAGCTACGCCTCTGGCCACTGGTACTGCCCACCAGAAAAATCTCAAACCCCCCCCCCCNATAAAATCGCTCCACTAGATTTA